GGGCGGCTTGTGGAGAGGTGAGCACCAACTGTCTGGAGGAGGAAGGGGGGGGATTGATAAGTAAAAGTAAGATACAGTAAACCCTTGCAGTGCATGGCTTGCCCGACTGCAAGGATAGTTTTCTAATCCTCAGGAGATGGGCTTTAAATAATGTTTGAAATGCTAGTTATGCATTAACATTACCGTGTGGATAGATTTAGTGTAATACTTGCTGTATGCAGAATGTTGAAATCTACAACAGGAGCTAAAGACAACATTTCAAGCAGTGTGCCAAAGCTGCAGATTAGAACTCAGCGACTATTGTCTCCTGCAGCTTGCTTGGCTGATGTGCTCTCGTATAACTGTTAACATTGATGACTCAGAATATCTTTTTATTTTGGTAATGTTTGGTTTGGGCTTCTGCATGTCATTTACAAAATTGGCAAAGATGTTGAATTGCTCAGCTCGGTGTTCTAATGTGACTGGAAACGGAGAAATGCTTTGACTTTATTTCAAATAACTGTGGTGTTATGTACTTCACTGATGTTTAAAGTCTGATATGCACAACCTCAACGGACTACTCTTGATTAGGGATGAGCTCAGGTTTGGACTGAAGCCGTTCCAAACCTGAGCTCCTCCGAGCAGGAAAGGAAACTTTTTCTGCTGCCACCCAATCAGCTGTGGCCGGAAAAATCCCCCGCTCACAGCAGCATCTAAGCAAAGGGGTGGGATGCAGTGACGTCATTGCAGGGGTGGACAAATTAATATGAAGTTCAGGAGCCAGTCTTGTCCGATCAGGAGCCAGCTCCATTGACAACAACTAGAGCGAACCTCAGAAGTTAGGCACCAGCTGTAATTTTTAAGAAGCATTGGTTCCTGAGATTTGTCCAGCCCCCTGTCATTAACCGTTTAGAAGAACCCCGCCTCTTTGTTGGTGTTCCGCTACGGAGCAAGGTGTGCCCCGGCCAAAGCTGATTTGGTTGGTTGTGTGGCCCATATGCACTTCCATTTTCCATCCAAACGTGAGTTCATCCCTACTCATGATCTTCTATTAAAAATATCCCTATTTCTCTAGCAAGATTATGGAGAGAAACATTGTTTTGGAAATGTTATGGACCAGTAAGAAATCATTGGCAAATATTGATGTTCTTAAGAGAGAGTCAGATGTTTGAAGTATGTACAGAGCTCTGGAAAAATATTTATGTTTTGAATTCAATAGAAGTATGTACCTGCAGAGAAAGAAGGACATAGGCCTGGTTCACGCTCAAGAAATATGCCTCCTCCCC